CAGTGATTTCCAACTTGCCTCATTGTATCATTTCTGAATAYTAATTTATAAGGCATTTCCATGTGCASTGCAGCACAGGGGAARGTGATGGACTCCCCATCTCCACCCAGCCTGGCCTTGCTGGCAGGAATMAGAGGCCACCTCTGGCTGCCTCCATGGCCATGGCCTTGTCTGTGCACAGCTATCAAAACCAAAATGCAGGGCAAGTGTCTTCACTGCACGAGCCTGTGGACAGTCAAAGCTCGGCTGCACTCTTGGTTACTCGCATCATTCGACCTGCAGTATTGCAAGATTTAATGACAATTAAAGTCGTGCTTCCATCTTCACCCGTCTCTCTCTCTCCTGGCAGAGAAAGCAAKAAGTGAGCCCRTGSTGCCTGTGCAAGTGTGGRTATTAAGATTGGGTTTTGTCTGTCSTGGTAAATGAAGAGTGACTGGGCTGACCCTGGCACCAAAGCTGGGTGTCAGAGAACAGAGCCTCTCCTCTGACACCACTCTGTCCTTCTGCCAGCATCTCACCTGTGGCAGCTCCTGCTCCTGCTSGGAATGGTCTGGAGAAGGCTGGGCCCATGGGAAGCCCTGGCTGGAGATGCTCCAGCAGATTAATAATGAGCCTGGGAATAGCTTTTGTTTTTGATGAATTAAATTTTGGTGATGTGTCCTGGGTGTTGGAGGATGGTGAGACAACCTGGGGTGGAGACAGAGCAGATGGAGGGGATGCAGCACATGGAGATTGCAGGTTTCTGTGARATGGAGGCAATCCATATTCTCAAGGCATGGGAGAGCCTGCCAGATACTAAATCCATRCTCTGAAGTGCCTGACCTTATGCTGCAGCATCTCCCTGCTCCCTCGCTGGATGCTCTCCACCAGTATAAAAAATAGCCACTGCCTTGATACGASTCTCCAGATTTTCTCATGTTTCCAGTTAGAGTTTTGGAGACCAGCCACAAGCCAAGGTCTCCATCAAGTTCAGTGAATGTTCATTAATCTTTCCTGGCTCAGGAACTCAGTGGGCTCAGTAAAACTCGAGTTCAGAGGAGTTCCAGGCTGTCAGAGGGATGGGCTGTTGCAGGCCATACCAAGAGCCTGTCCCATGCCTGCTGCAGATGGGTTCCAACAACTCACCTTACTGCAGGAGGCTGGATGTGCAGGTGTATCCAAGGGCTCCAGAGGCTCAATGAGGCTGGTTAAATCATTTCCAGCATGGAGCAGGCTGATATTCCCTTGTCAGCAGCATCCTCAGCCACTCTGTGGCTCTGGGAGGAAGATGGGGGCTGCAGGCATGGAATCCCCTGCTGTTTGTGTCCCCACTTTTCTTCTGCTGGAAGATGCTGCCATCACAGCTCAGCTTTCTCTCCCACCACCCCATGGACTGGCTCCAGGGAGAGGCACAGGAACTGGGACAGCTGATGGCACAAGAATGGGAACAGCCAATGGCATGGGAAGGAGAAGTCCAAACCCCTCCAGCTAGAGCAACCCCCTCCCAGAGTTCAGGGAATAAACACCCCAGCAAGCACAGAAACCACCAGGGGAAAAAAAAAAAACCAAACAAAAAAAAACCAGTATTAAGGAAAGCCCATGTATTTAATATTAAATCTTTAGCAYTGAGAAGCACAAGACCAGGCTTTTGCGTCTGCCCTAATTTAGCTCTTTCCCTCTGGAAAGGACTATTTGTGAAATGCTTTGTGCTCATGTCCCTGGCATTAATCAGCCCCTGTCAGCCSCCGGCTCCGCGGATCCCCCTGCACTCGCAGGTGCGCTGCTCTATCCCACCCTCCCACGTGGCAGGTACCCAGCGGCTCTGGCCTTTCACAACAGATATCCGAGGGGCTCAAAAGTGCTTGAAGATTTTTCTTTTAATTAGAGGAGCTCTGGAGACATGCTATATTCATATGTATTTTCGGCTATTTTTTAATTTATTGCTACATCAGCTATTAAAAAAAAAAAAAGGCAAAAAGAAGAAAGGAAGGGAGCTGCCACAAGCTGAGCGCCTTTCGGGATGACTCACTGCAGCACTGAAATGGCTGCTGGCTTCAGACTCACCCTGCCTCTGCGATTTGCTTCCAGACTGCAGAAGAGACCACGGCAAGAGGTTTTGTCCCCCTGTCCCCGCGTGGAGGATTTGCCGKGTGGTTATCGACATAATCCGCCCGGGGCTGCGGCGGGCGGAGACCTGCGTTCCTCAAGAGAGGAAGATGGGGGGAGACATGAAAGGAAGAGATGGCGAGGCATTTCCAGCTGACCTGATTTTCTGCTTGCTCCCATCTCCACATCGCTGCCAGCTAGCTCAGGAGTGGCAGTGGGGACRTGGGGCTGGCCYGTGCTGTGGGGAGCTGTGCCTCACYGGGGCCATYGMAAMMACAGCTGTGCCAAGGAAGAGCTCTTATGCCTCAATTAACTGGAAAAGAGCCTTAAAATGGGAGTCTCCTTTTCCTGCCACAGCTTGCCAGAGTCAGTGCGAAGGCAGGCCAACAAGCTCTGGTTGGCTCGTGGCAGAGTCAGGGCTTTCACCTCTGAATTTGTGCAGAAAAGGGAAAATTCACCTCAAGTGCCATTGATGCAGCAGCCAAGTCCCCTCTGAAGGACGTGATGCCAGCACAAACSTGCACGGGGCCTCTGCAGCCTGGGAGGTGAACTTCCCTTCTCTGCAGTTGCTTCCAGCCAGAGCTTTGAGCTGCTGCAGGAAACATGGAGGTGTCTCCCCTCCGTGTCTCCCCAGGGTGATCCCTCCTTTCTGGAGGCAATAAGGGCAAAGCCCCAGCAATTCCCTTCCCACTCAGGCTTCAGCTCCTCCWCACGGCCCAGGGACACTCAGCAAACCTCCTGGTACCTCCTGGGAGAGCTGATTTTGGGGGGGACAGAGCTGAAGTCTACTCTGTAGTAGAGCATAAACAGGGCTCTGGTGCAGACACAAAGTGCCAGATGGAGTGGGCGCCCTTGCAGCGCCAGGCACAGCTCCTTCCCTGAAAAATGGTTGGATGAGAACTATTTTCAGAARGGAAAAGAAAATTCACCCTGATCACCATATGTCAGTGACAAGGCAGAGAAAACCCCACGTGGGAACCAGCCCTCCTCCTACCCGTGGGCTGCACCCCGCTGGGGCTCAGCACCCACCATCAGCCGGGCTCCCAGCTGCCTGGAGCACACAGAGATGGGCATGTTTATCTTGCAGCTTCCAGGGATGCTCAGCCATCTCTAATTGCCATAAAAATAAGTGYTTTTTGCTTCATATCACAGAACAGAGGAATTTCCCTCAGGTTTTTTTTYCYTTTTKKTTTWWTTTTTTTCCTCTTTTCTGAGGCCTCCCTCAAAGTCATCCCTTCCCCCTCCCTCCACTGCCTCTTTCCCATGTAAACAAGCAGAGGCACACACAGTCTGACACATCACACACATGGAGACAYGCTGATGGCCCTGCAGCGGCCAGCACTGCCTGGCACAGGGACAGGACTGGCAGCACACGCGGGAGGCGGGCGTGCGGGCAGGGAGAAGGATGCTCGCCACCAAAAAGAGCTCTCAGTCCRCCTCGTGCAAGCCCGGAGAAGGGTGAGAGCCCTCGGGCTCCATCCCCTCGGACAGCGATCAGCAAGCCGGTGGAAGGGATGCAGAGGGTGGTGTGAAGTCTCGCCCMGTGCGAGCCGCCCGTGTGACACAGCTACTCTGTGCCGGCTGCCGGAGCAATGAGCCATCGCTGCGGGGACATGCAGCCCCGGCCGTCACCCTGGGAAGGTCCCTTTCTCATCCTCTCCTTCCCACCCCTCTSCTCCAGCAGCTGACTTCTGGGGGAGCTGGTGTGCTTGCCGGGCTCCCCAGGCTGCCTGGGGATGGCCCCGGGCGCGGCAGCTCGCTGACCTGAAACCCAGCGTGTGCCATGCCCGGGACTCGCTGCCTTCACCCGCCTCCCAGCGAGCCTTTGAAGAGACACCGCGGAGCTCAGCGAGCCTGGGGGGCTCTTCCCCGCGGGGCTGCCCCGGTGCTCCACACGCTCCCTGTTCCAAGGAGCTAGACGGAGATGGATCGCATGGAGGGCGACTGCGAGGGCGGGGGTGCATCGTGTGCCCGGCCCGGGGCGGCTCCGCTGCCGGGGCCCTGCTCGGCCTGAACACCCTCGGCACGGGACCGCCCGGCAGCCCCAGCTCCGGGGGCTCAGCCCCAAGGGCAGCGCTTGCCACCCGGGCAGCTTCGCAAAGAGCTGGGGTACCCCACACGGGTACCCCCAASGGGGCTCTCTCAGCCGTCCTGCGAGCTCTGCCGGTTGCCAAGGGACTTCCAGCAGGTAAGACTTCAGGAATGCCGGGGGTACCCACGCCTGGTCCAGATTCCCGGCTCGGTTCCGCCTGACATCTGTGGTGCCTTCGCTGGGGACACCGCCAGCCCCGCACGGAGCCGTGACAACCTGTCAGCCCGTTTTGCCAAAATCAGGTCGCCGGTCTTGTCCCGTGGGCTCCCCCCGGGCATCCTTTGCCCTGTCCCCTATAYAGAGCTCGGGAGGGGCTGGGGAGAGGCAGAGGCAACGGGGAACCGGGTCCCGGTGGTCTGGGACCGGGRACTGGGAACCGGGAACGGGGGACCGGCTCTCCCCGACTGCTCCCGCGCCGCGGCGCCGGCGGGCGGGCGGAGGGCGGCACCGGGAAGGGCGGCGGGCGGGACCCCCGGCCCCGC